CTCTCTCTCTCTCTCTCTCTCTCTCTCTCTATTATAAAGTATTATAATTTATAAATATGAATACCTGAGCACAAAAAATAGCATTTAGTTCATTCAGTCAATCATAAATGTAAACCTTATATTAAATATTCTGAATATTTAGAAATTCATTTGAAAACTTTAAAGTAAATATAAATAAAATACTTTAGACATAATTCATTACATTTTACTATTTTTATACGACTTTGAGTTTTCTTATAAAATATAGTTTTAATCAAAGATATTGTGAAACATAATGACTTTGTTTTCCTCTTTCTTTGTTTTATTAATTACTCTAATTATAGCGAAATAACCAAATATACGAATGGGATGTCAATTAGATTGTGTTTGATTTAAGCTGTACTGTAATTGAAGTACAACACTGTACAGAATAGTACAAAATGCGATCGTTTATTTGGGTTACCATTGAAACACATTCAACAAAGAATTATGACCACTAATTTAACCATACTCTATTAATATAGTGATCATCAAAAATTACTGTAATGCAGTATTAAATCATATCATATATTACTAAAATGTTGTAATAATTATAGTAATGTTTTCAATATGTCATTGAAATGTATTACTGTTAGATGTCAATCATTTTGATATAACTACATTATATAAATGTTTAGTTGTAGTATATTTGAAATCGTAATACAATTGTAATTTTATTTTAATTCATCTGTAATTCCAGATAGACTGACATTTTGTGCGGAAATTAAAAAAAAATAAAAACATATTTACTTTATCATGCATGTTAACTGAAATTTTTGCTATTTAATTAAAAATTAGAATCAGCTAGTATAATATACCTTTCTAATAAATTATACAATATAAAATTTTCTAAAATTATTTGTTGTAAAAATTTAAGCATATTTAAGCCCAACTGTAATCTATTTAAGTTTTTATTTAGTCATTAGCCCTATCCCTGACCCCTGACCCCTAACCCCTTGGTCATAATGTATAGAATAATACAATAATCACTTTAATGTTGCCAACAATACAAGGGTTGGAAAATATGTTTCATGTTAACAAAAGCTGTGGTTGTGTTATATATTATGCGTTTATATCGCAAACACAATACTCTCCATGTATTTAAAGATCGATATTTTTATTTTATGCACAAAACTATTTTAAATTAAATGGGTTTTAAGGATTAAAATTCTAATATAAGTTACAAAAAGGAAATTTTAATTTGTTATTTCAATATTACTTAACACAAAGGGAGCATTCGGTGATATTTTAATATTAAATTTTTGTTTAATTGTTTATATAAAGCAATTCTTTGAAATAATTTTTCATTTACTTTTAAATGATGCAAAAATTATTAATTAATTATTTAAATTTTAATATTATATTTATAATAGGATTTAGAATCTTATAAGTTATATAAAATACAATTTAACTTAATTTAGCATTTGTTTTGTCGTTTTTTTGTGTAAATATACTCTAAAACAACGTTCCGCAGAGCGGGTAGAATCGGGTAAACGCGGGTATTTTAAGGTTACATTACAATAGTTATAAAAGTAATAATAACCAATTTATTATATTTGAACATTCAAATATAATGTAACCATATAATAAAAGTGGTGTATTGTTTTAATTTAATGAATTTATTTATTTACATTAGAATTTGTGTAAAATTCTGTTAAATTATTTTTTCAAATTCTCAATCGCTCTCTCAATGACACTCTGGCTGTTATTCATCTATTTTTGTCTCATTTTGAGAACTCTTTTGACAATATTTAACATCAATTGTAATGGCATTTGTGATTCATGTTTGTGTGCACAAAAATAATGCCTTGATAACAACTTATTTTCATAAAATCTGCGCTGTTCTGTTCTAAAACATAGATTTTATTGAAACAGGCAAATTTTAAAAATTTACTTATCATTATAACACTGTAAGTCCATATAATCCATGAGTACTTCCCTCGACACTTGCTTTAATTAGATTTTTTTGTTGTTGATAGGTTATTAAAATATAACTAGAAATTTGTTATTTATATACCTTTATCGTGTTTGCTAATACCATGCTTATTTTAATATTATTTAACATATTATATTTATAATTTAACATAAATATATCTAAAAATTTAATTCTATAATAAAATTATACACATACAGTAGAGTTTAAAATAAATTTTATTTGGTTGATTACTTCATGTTATATTGAAAATGTTGACTTTTTAGTTTTAGCCCATAGTTATAGTTATATTTTAAAATATTCTCTGAATTTAATAAAAATTTAAATAAATATCTTTAGAAAGCATAAGAGTTTTTTTTAATTTAAAGGCCAATACAAAGTTATTGATTAAATTAAACTCATTATATAATTAATCCGATGACAAGTTAAATGTTGACGAGAAGTACTGTTTACTAAATTCTGACATCAATTGCATTCTTATGTTTTGTGTCTTTTTGTTAGAGATATCTTTAAATCGCATGAATATCTAAAATAAACGCCTAAAGGGATTGATTTGCATTAAAATAGACTTAAATAAAGCAATAATTAAGTAATTTTACCTTATCTTACATAAGGATAGCTAATTAAGCGAATGGACTTATTTCGAGAATAGGATTCTGAATAATTAAAAACATTTGTTTAATTAAAAGGAAAGAAAAATTATTTGTTGAGGAATATAAAGAATTCACAGCAAAGAGAAAATCAATCATTAATTTAGGACTGAAATTGCAAACAAAGAAATAAACCGAAAGCAAAACAACAATCGTATGAAAGAATCCAAAAGTTTATATCAAAACTCAATATAATATTAAAGAAGATGTCGTGAGAAAAGTGTATATCAAATACAGTGTTAGACTTATAACGATATGATTGTCTGTTAGTGTAAAGTATATACGGAATGTTCTCAAGTGTTTGAGT